CTCAAAGCCGTCCGGCCCCCATCACGTGACTTTTTCCAATGGTTTTATTAGAGCGCGCGAGCAGGGCCGTACGCGGGTCATATGATAAATACCTTAATGTGTAATCGTTTCGCTTTATATGAAATTCGAATATTCGTGATCACAGTTATAACGCAGCGAGAAGTTTGTTTTCATTTCCTATCCTGTACTACAAATCTGTTTGTCAGTAATGACAGCTTTCTCTTTTTCTTTAATTTAAAGAGGGTTTCCGGTCAACATTATCCATTATCTGAGCTAATCATTGAGCCTTTAAGTAATAGGTTTAAGTGGGCAAGGAAAAAACAAATGAAAAAAGTTAATCTAGTTGCACCTGACTGGAGCAGTAGCACGTATGCATCCCCTGAAAAAAGGCGGGAAGATGGTAGACGCGTGGCGCACGCTCTGTAAAAAAACATAGTTTTTCAGCCAATCAGAGCGCGCGCACTTAAAAAACTGTTATGTAAACAGATAAAATACAATAAAAAAGTTAATAACTAAATCTAAATCTTGATTTTAAGTATGGAGGAAAACTAAATCGAGAACCCGTAGCGTGAGACCATCGTTTTTATGCCCAAGTTGATTCTAACTGTATTAGCCAGCGAGATTGAGGGATAAGCTGGGTCGAGTTGGCCATGAAATGAAATAGCTAATACAATTAGACTACTACAGGAATACGAGGCAATTGATAATCAATTTTCCGTGATTAGAGTCTGGTTGTACAAAGGGTGGATAGCACTATCCGATGGATAAATCCTTATCCAGTGGGTAAGTCGATGCTGTTATCCAATACATTTATCCACTGGATAAGATTTATCTGTTGGACAGTGCTATCCTCCCTTTGTGCAACCAGACCCAGAATTTTAGATTTTGAGATATATTTAGCGAATTTGTTGAACTTTTGGTACATAGCAACGGTAACTAAGGAGAATTGGAACCATGAATCCACGAAAGCGGTAATCCAATAAAGGAAAACATCTCATTACAAAACCCTTCGTCGTCTTTAACTTTAGTACTAGATAATGATTTAATAACTATTCATTTTTATACTTTCTTGGCGTGTTTATCAATATTTTTACAACATCCCGTCAGTATCTCAGAATGGTCCTTAACTTATTTTTCATTGATTGAAATTAAAAATGAAACTGAAACTCAGGTTTAGTTTCTGATTACCCCTCGTTTTTCATCTTGTTTTCATTTCTTTTTCATTTGGTTTACCTCCCACTCGAGTGGCTGATCTTATCGTCACTTTTTCAATTGACTAATCACTTCTAAACTATATCCACCATTTCCCCCACCATGTTGTTGGTCCTATCTACAATCCGCGTACTCGGTAGCAAACAAAACTTTAAATACTCCAAGAGGCGGTCAAGATAATTATTTTTAAACGAGACACTGTTTTTGATCATAGTTGGCTATTCGAACTATGTTTTAAGTCTTTTAATCAGATCGATGTGACATTGAGCTCTCCCTGACAGATACAGTACATTCGACGGTAAATTTGGCGTCGAGGGGGCTTCAGATTCATTGACTTAATCTAAATATATTTATTTTAAAGATTTCACTAACACGCACTAAAATATTCAAGATTTATCTGCATTGTCAAGCGTCTGTGACAAAGTTCTTTGGCACCACCAGTAACACTAGTCGTGAATATCCAAATCATAGTATTCAGTGAATTTAATCATCTTTCTTCTAAATAAATCATTAAAAAAAATTGACTCGATATTATAAACTATAATCTAAAGCATAATATCACACGGATCTTATTATATTTTCCGAAATTTTTCAGAATTGATCAAAACCTTTACCACAAAGTTATCAGCGTTTTCCCCCCCGCTATTTTAATGTTTACGATTTTATGAAGCATTTTGTCCAAATTTCAAGGGGTTATAAAATGAGGATTTTTACCTTTATCGAGAGGAATTTCTACTATTCGCTGACACAGTTCTCTTATATCATTTATTTATGTATAACTGCGCTAAATAAGGAACCTAAACAAAGCCTTTACGGACCAAAGCCACGGAATCCCATTTGATACTCAATTATTTTCAGAGCTCTTATTTCATGGCTACCATAAATTTCATTTCAAAAACCTATGATTTTTTCGTGGACCCGATTAGAAAACTCTTCAGGTCAGTCGCTAGCTGCATATATATATATATATAAAAGGATTAAGTCTAGGATAACAACATTCAGGTGTTTAGGGGCAATGGTAGGTCTTGGGAGAATTTAGAATTTTTAAGCCAAACAAACAAAAAACGAGAAAAAAATTAACACGGCTTCCACATTGGACTTGACAAGACTTGACTTTTCAGTAATATTGTTCACAAAAGCGATAACCGATATCATTCTTGTATTTAGAATGCTTTTAGACAAGGGAAATAGAAGATTAATTTCACTTGAGCATAATCTGAAATGCTTGGAGATTTGCAGCAACGCAGGGAGCTTTGAGAGGCAAGTTTTCGATTTCGTGGCACTGAAATGGTTTTTTACGTAAATGTGTATTTTTGTTGACGTTTTGAAGCAGAATTCTTTCTTTCTCCATTCCATCCTTTTTTTCTTTTCTTTTCTTTTCTTTTTTTTTTTTTTTTTTTTTTTTTTTTTTTTTTTTTTTTTTTTGGCCATTTATCCCCCCACCTCTTTTTTTTTTTTTTTTTTTTTTTTTTTTTCTCTTCCTTTTTCTATTTCGTTCTTTTATCTTCTTTCTTTCGCGATATTTTTAGTTTTGTCTATATAAAATAATCAGAGAAGTTTACCTTTTTCAAGAAAAAATCCAGAATTCCTTCAGGAAGCCAACCAAGTGTCTCAGTAAAACGTATAGAGACTCGTTTCTTAGTCAAGCGCTTCACTATGTAAAGAAACATGAACATCGAAGTATTAGTATTATAAGAACCGTATAGCTTTACGTCACGAGGGGGAGGAGGTAGTAGTAAGACTCTTTGATTGGTCAGACTCTTTTCGATTCCCAATTCTTAATCATTTTATTACTGGAAAAGGCTGACGAGGTGTCGTATTTCCCGCTGTGCCATTACAAACCCTTCAACGAGTTCGGTGAACGAAACGACGTATAGTTATGGCTAGCCCGAATCCTGCATTAAAATGGCTTTCCATAGGAACGCGAGTCTATTGGCTATAAAATGATAGGCAGGCAGCATTGAAATGGCTTCCCATATAGGAAAGAGTTCTGTATGACTGCAAATGAAAGGACGAATTATGTTCAGCATAAGGATGCCTTTCCCTAGGAAAGAGTTTTCGTTTAAATAGCATCAAAATGGCTTCCCATATAGGAAAGACTTCTGTATGACTGCAAATGAAAGGACGAATTATGTTCAGCATTAGGATGTTATTCCCTAGCAAAGAGTTTTCGTTTAAATAGCATCAAAATGGCTTCCTATACAGGAACGAGTTCTGTATGACTGGAGCGAAAGGATAATTCATGTTCAGCATTAAAATGGCTTTCCACCGGGGAACGGGTTTTTGTGTAAATAGCAATACAACGACTCAGTTATAACCAGCACAAGCTTTAATCCTGCATAACTGGATGAAAACTAAGTGATATTGATATAATAAGCGATAGTACAAATCCGTTACTAAAATAGCTCCTTGCAAGGGAGCGGCTTTTCTATTAATGGACACCGCATACCGTGACACTGAGCATGATTCAACACTAAAATGGCTTTCCCCGCGTAACTAAAACTAGTTTTGGTGGGTATTTCAAGGAATTATTTCAAGATCATACCACTGACATGTCAGTCTTAAAGCTAAAGTAACTTGATTTATGGCACGTATCGGTGGAGCCGGAAAGTTAAGTCTTTGATATTAAAATGGCTTCCCATGATAGAATGGACTACCTCATAATGAATCTTTGTACTACTTCAACAGCCACACACACATAATATTTTTGACTACTTATATTAAAAAAAATAAAATAAAATAAAAATAAACCACATGTAATTTAATTTTGTGATTATAATCGTATTTATTGTGTGTGAATAAACTTGAGACTTGAGACTTGAATCTGAGGCTAACATAAATCATTGACAGAACGCTAAGTTAAGCCATTCCATCTTTGTGACTAAGTTACCTATGGCACCTGCCCACCCTTCGCCTAAAGGCATTGAGATGCATTGGTTATGGACCATTTATCTAGTCAATATCCTGATTCCTCTTACATCAATAACTGTTGATCATAAATCATCTTTCGTGTGTCTTGGTGGGCCAAATGAATGTGTTTTTATTTTTCATAACATATATTCAAACCTACACGAAAAGCGCACGCACGTTGTGTTGTTAAAGTTTTGGCCAAAAGTAAAGTTTTTTGTACAAGAAATGAGATTCTTAAGTAGTTAGAGCGTTTTTCACGGCATCTAAACCCGAAAGATAAGTAATCTTTTGATGATAAAACGTTTTGACCGTACGAGTAGAACTAATACTTCAATTAGTTCGTCTAAGACTTTGATCTCATTTTTATCTATTTAACCCCGATGAGCTGAAATGCCGATATTTAAAACTAACAAGCCTTGACGTCCTGAAATGACTTGGTTAGGGTACGTTTTTATATTCAAGGTGAGCTATTTTGAGTCGGAAAACCACCAATGATTCCTGACATCAGTGAAGTAGTTTCTCGTTTAGTCTGTTTCTCTCCTAGGCTTTGAGGCTTTTACTCCAGTTTTCCTCACTCGGTCAAAGCAAGTCAAGAAGGTACGTAGCTGAGCATTTTTTGGCGATATAAGGCCCAGTTAAAACTACCCTGCGAGCAGAGATTTTTTTCTGAATCCTCCGTGGCCAGCCAGTCCACGGAGGGCTCAGAAAAAAACCTCTGCTCGCAGGGTAAGTTAAAACGTCAAATTTCACATGTACCGAATGCAACGCAAACAAATTCAAACCGAATCCAATGCAAACAAATTCAAGCTATTACATAAGTCGGGCGTTTTTATATCGCAAAATCGCCAATCGAAAGGGTTTAGTTTTGCCAGTAAAAGATGTTAAGATCAATGTTGAAATAAGAAAGACTCAAAGTCGCATTTCGATAATATCGATTTTCGTAACAACGCGTATAAAATCCATAGTGATTTTATTTTTGAAATTTCAATCCTAAAAACAAAGATTTGCGTTTTTTCTTCTTCTTCTGCTTCTTTTTTTCTTCTTTTCTTTTCTTCTTTAACGTGGAAGTAAACCGGACAACGCCGTGAGAAAGACGAACTTTCGCAACGTTAAAAAACGAAATATATAATTTACTTACCTTTCTATACTCTACACTAACAGGAAAATATATCTTAGCTTTCGGGCCTTAGGGCAGGCAACAATCATTCTATCAGTTCTCCATAGGAATTATTTTGCTTCTATCAAACAAATTTTTTGAAGCTTACTTTTTATCTTTTAACTCTTTGAGTTCTATAACTTCCAGATAAGCCTTTTAAAATATAGTCCACGATGACGTAAAGAGTGACGTCAAAACGAATGAACCAATCAGGTGATTTCTTTTTTGTGGTTTCATGACGTGCATCATCTAATAGGCTGAGACCGATACCAAATTTACCAGTTAGAACAGACAATTATCTCGGTTTTTTTTTTTCAATTTGAGTGGGGGAAATATCCGTTATTTGATTAACCAAAATTTTAAAAATATTTTCATTTTGAAAATTTTCTCATTAATTTTTACAAACATTTTTTATAAATCTTAGATTTTAAATTTTAGATTCACAATGTCAATATATACATAGTTTATATTAACGTTGTAATATTGTAAATCTGTATTGTTAGAAGAAAAAGCCCTGAGGGAAGTAATGGCCTAATAAAGCATGTAGATTTTGTCGGCCGGTCTTTTGATACAAAGACAAAATAATTTGGCTTCCTTGTTGTTTACAGTGTTTCCGCGGACTAAAATGCTGCTTGTTTTCCGTAATACTACATCTATTTGTGTAGTGTCAGTTGACTAAAAGCAACATGAATCTGGTCAAAAATAGATCAATTATAGGATACAAGTGGGAATATCATACTGTGTACGGCGTGCAGTAGATGTACCCTTCCTCTCACTTCTGGGCCCTCCAGTTCGATTTTTACGACTAGAACTTCAGTATCTCACGCGAGAAAAGTCTTTTTGATTGCAGAGTTTTCTCCAGCTTCTCCGGATTTCCTCCCACGAGAACACCCAACAAGCTAAATTTCATTTCAGTCTGTGAGATTGGATCAGCCCAGAGGTTGTTTCAGGGTCTTGATGAAATTGTCCCGGGGTCTTTTTGTCTGGAACCGCTCACACTTCAAATCAAAGCCGTTTCGTTTCCTAATCTCGAAAAGCCACCAAATAAATCCGCAAACAAATGATAATCCATATACATAGTCATACTATTTTACCGAGATAATTAAGCTTTTCCAGTCGAATTCCAATTTAAGATGAACTTGATAAAATTCTAACGTTTATGGCTCCGGAACGGCTCTACAGAGCCACTAATGATCATCCACTGTCTCCAATCAACCGGTTTAAGCTGTCTCAGTCAATATAATTTTCTGCAATTAAGGTGTAATTTTTCTTGTCTTCGTTAGGCATTTTTTTAGTACGTTCACCGCCATCTGGAAAGCGTCTTCCGATTGATAAAAATAAAATGCTTATCTGATTTTGGCAAATGAGAAACGCTTGTAATAGATGAAATAGTCTGGCCATATTTTACAATTGCGCCCCCAGACATGAATTTTTACTTTAAATATAAAGTTATATAAGACGCACCAAGATAGATATAGTTTATACATATGGAGATTTTCGACCAATCACAATGCGCGTATAGCTTTTTCAAGTGTGAAAAAAAAAAGGATATGTCCAATCAGAATCCACGTACAACTTTTCTTCACGTCTGAGAAAAACGATACGTCCAATCATAGTTAATAGAGGGGAATGATTAGGAAACCTATTGTTATAGGTCTTTGTTCGCTTTTGATGTTGAACCGGTCTTGACCCTGCACAATGTTTGATTTATGCTCATCCGAAATTGCAAAATAAGTAAACGTAAACTTTGTCTATGGGATTGTTGTAAGGAATATTCAAATATCTCTTATAAATCTTGTATTTTGAACTAGCAGCCAAAACAAAGATTTTGGTCTGTTCACTCAGCCATTACCAACAATGGTAAAACAATGGTAAAACGATGGTAAAACAAGGCATTGTGCACGGTCACGCTTGAAAAAAACGAACAAAGACCTATAACAAAAGAGTTTCCTAACCCTTCCCCTCTGTTAACTATAGTTTGAGTTCAAAACATGAATGAAACTATATTTTTAGACGACAAAACCCAAGACAAAACCGATGAAATACAACTCACTCAAAAGCTTGACGAGAAATAAATATTTTGAAAAGTTTCTAAAATATTAAAAAGAAATAATAATGACGAGAAAAGGTAGTTTTGTTATTAGAAGAAGGCGAGTTAACTAATAAAACTCACTMACTCGAGCTCGCACAGTTCGTTTTATAATACTTCACAAATCGTGGAAAAAAAACCCCGTACGCGCGCCGACTTTCCATAAAATAATCTCTATAAACGAAGCTTATAAATTTACAGGATTTACCTTGGTCTTTCTGTAGCTTCAGTATTACGCCGTTGTATTCAAAGGAACTCTAACATACATTTACACCCATCTTTTACCAACTCTACTGTTTAGCCTGATAATCTCGCTTTCTGAATCGGCAAAAAAGCCAGTCTTTTATAACAGTATATCAAGTTCCACCCAGAGGGCAAATCGGTAATGGCGTACATTTTACGTATTTATCCCACGAGCAAAACCAAAAATGCAAGCTTTTAAGGAAGTAAAATTTAATGAGATGTCGTGGTGTTCCTCATTTTCCATTCGTTTGTTAATGTTGTTACTTTAACGCTATTGGATTGACGTGAGAGTGGTCACGAAGGGAAGCCGTTTAAGTGCATTTGGGGATACAAGATGACGTATCACTCACAACACAGCGACGAAATCTATGCACGCTGGACTTCAGGTAGTCACGCTGCGCAATGACATGCGCACATGCAGTCTTGATTCATTTTTCTCATTTTAACAATATTTATACAGATTAGCGAAATGTCCTTTGTCACGTTACTTTAAACAGACTTCTTTACCTTGGGGGTACTATTTTCCTATTTCGGAAAACATGTCATTCCCTAATGTATTATTACTTTGTTTAACAGTTGCGCATGATTGCCATTGCAATAACTTTCCCTGCCACTGAAATGGCTTCCCATTGTTTTCGTGCGGTTAAACGCCGTATTTACCCGCCAATCAAAAACCGCCAGCTCTTAAAAAACAAAAGATATCTTGCATTATTTTGATCTCGATCTGATCTCGATCTATTAAATRAACTCAATCTGTAGCTTTGAGCTGACTACTAAAGTATTTAATAAAAAGAAAATTTTCTTAGTAAGAAATTTTAAACAGAATTTAAGGCTGATTCCAAAAATGAAAAGAAAAATTGGGTGTCCCGCTCGTTTTCGAGATATTGAAATTTGAATATTACCATCTTTTCAAGTTTAAAAATGGCAAAAATAAAGCTTCGCACAAAAAACTTTTTAACTCAAATATTGAAGAAGCTACGGAAGCCGTGTAATTTTCTCAGAATGTATACTTCAAAAATTGTTTTCGATAACTAACTCAAAATATTTTAGTGAAAAATGTGAAAGAAGCTCAAAATTCAGCATTTTGTTCGCTTAATGAACCGAAAATAGTGACTCAAACGAGAACAACACTAAAAAGAACATATCCAGGAACATACTATGAGTTCTAGCTATGGTTCTAAAAGACAATAAAGATTGCTTTTTACCTCTTGTTTTAGAATATCCTGTGCAAAATGTGAGGGTTTTGCACTGTTGAAGTTCAAATAAAACAGGTATGTTATAAAATTTTGAAGATTATTCAGCGGTTTTGGAGCAGTCTTTGTGCAAACGCACACCGTGGGCTCAAATGAAACGTTTTATAGCAGTAAGTCTCCTTAAGTACCGGATCTAAACCAAGTCATTCGGCATGTTATCGGACTGTTCTTATGGTAACCTGAAGTATAATTCTGCTTTGAACTTAGAGCCAAGTGTATCTGAGAGGTTAAAGTGTGCATTTCGTACATAAACGTTTTCTGCCATAAGAGCTATTCATCATATCAGCCACAAAACGCGACACCAGCAATAAACTTTAGTGGTCAAATAACATTATGAAAATAAATCACATTAATTTGACACGTAAATATGAAGCAAAAAGAAATATAAAAAAAAAGAAAGGAAGGAAGGAAGAAAAAAATGAATAAAGGAAGAAATAAAAGGCAAATATCGAGACGAAAATTCGTTCACGCATTGGTAAAACTCGTTCGTCACACAGAAAACATGTCCCAAGCTAATTACAGGGAACTCAATAAAATCGTTTCGTGCTGCTAGGTAAAAAAAGACAGGGCACTTTGTTTTTGAACTGAATCGACTTACATTATATGAATTTGATTGTAAACCACCAGGAAAAATTGGAGGGAAAAAATCGAATTTAGCATGTGACTTTATTAATACTTTTCTTCTTAACATGTACATTTTGTCACGGGAAGCCCATAAGCTTTGAGAACTGAATATAATTTAACGAAAAMAATTAAAAATAAAATAAATAAAAGCTACTATTTACTCACATGCTTCCTGGGATTTTGTGTTCAATAACCTTAATGTTATTGACCTCATCGTTTGAAATGATAATTCGTATTTATCAACTGAATCATAGATGTTTCGCTTCAATGGAAAGTCGTTTTTCACCAAAAATGGGTTGTGTTCACTTATGAGGCTCTTTCACACGTCTTCGGATATTTTTGAAAACGATTTTTTAAAAATTTGGATTAAAAAAATATTGTTTCATATCGTTTACGCTCGTTGACGCTCGGATTTCGACGATAAGTTTCATTTTCATCGGTTACGTGTGAACTGAAGGCTAATTATACGCAAATAGAAATATCGAGAATATCCGGCGGAAATATGGACGGGGCTTCAAGTAAAATGACGAACATTTCGTGCATTGAAACCGCGTTTTATATCATATTATATCATTTATATCATATATCATGTACGTATGGTCTGAAGGCCAATATACGCCAATAGATATATCAAAAATATCCGGATATGTGGACGGGGCCCTAATTTTAATGGCGGCCATTTTGTTTCAAAACTTTTTCTGTACTAGTCACTATTCAGAGTCTGTTGAAGTCTATTAATCGCGTCCCTCGTTCTCTTTTCTCATATATCCGCCTGGAATCTTTTGAAGTAACCTGGAATTCTGTTCCCAAACATTTTCGTATTGACATCATGTTTAAATATAAAGCCTTGAGGAATAAAAATGTTAGTAATTGGGAACCCTGTCTACTCTTATCTTCCAGGTTCACTCAGTACTGCTTGGACTCTCTTTGGTTTCCAAAAAAAAAATCCATCTGCCTTTACCTTTTTAAAACAGTCTTTCTTCACAGGCAGTCTAGACTTATTCACCAAAATCGTAATATCAGATCGTGTCCTCCGTATTACTATCATTGATAAGCCTCTTAGGATTTTGAGTAGTTTTGACAAAATATGAAAAACTTAAGAAAATAAAAATACAATTACTTTTGAAAAAATTCAATAACTGAGAGAAATGTTATCTGTCTTTATTGAATTACACAAATCTAATCCAGTTAAACTGGAATTTTAATATCTTTTTTCTAGCACAACGGAAGAGGTTCTGTTCAGTACTAGTACACGCGTCAAATATTCATTTATCCCTTGACTTGCATGTGTATTATATAACTGTTTACATAATGTATAAAGGTTTTATTTCTTAGTGAACACATTTTGTACAAATTCAAGACTTTCAGCTTTATGTTCGATGATCAAAGTCAGACGGATGGACCGCTTCAGCGATGCGGCAGCCATCTTGAATCACAAGGCATTATGGGTAATCCAGGGAGCAAATATACAAAGCTTTGTTACAATAATAGCGTCGATTGACACTAACAGTTTATGACAAGACAATTTGACAATAAATGTGTTGAAATAAAAGGCTTTGGGGTTCTGGAAATACCCGGAGAAAAAACCCTCAAATCAAAGAAGACATGTTACCTAACGAACTCTGCTCACATGCGATGAAGTTTCTTGGTAGAACCAGAAACATAGAAGTTACGAAAACGTGAGAATTTAGACTTTACTAAGTATCGTCTCTTAACGCATGCCAAATTTTACGACCTTCCATCGAGGTAAATAATCAATGATGACATAGAGACTGATTAGCCATTTTCAATGTAATTATTGTGCGTGTTTGACGTCATCTTGTGCAATATTAGAAACATCTAGGCGACCTCGAATTCCGTCGAATCCCATATTACAAATTCATTGTCTTTCAAAATTAAAATGTCTCAGGGTATTTTCGCTTTTTTGTTTGTTTTCTTTTTTTTCTTTTCCTTAAGCAAAATAATTTCTTACCTTACTTATACAGATTCTCATTAATCCCATATAGGTAACTGTCCAATTATTTTCTTAATTGGACAGGTCTTGTTGATATGGGATTAATTAGGCAACTATATAATTAATAGGTAATGGGATTTAATGCTCCCCAATCAAGAAATATAATTAGACTCGAAAAATTTCTCTGACCGCCAAATTGGACTCGGCCTACGAACTCATCCAATTTTGTCAGTCCTCGGAATTTTCCTCGTCCAATTATTACATATACTAATTGAAAAGTTCACTGTTTGTTGAAAATATTTGGTAATAGATCTTATTCGGTTTTTTTAATACGCCTTCGATCTTCGAGTACAAACGGTTGTTAATCCCGCGCTGGAAATGGCGAAAACTTGGACTACCAAATATTCAGCCGCTATAACGAACCAAAATGTTCGAATAGCTGAGACTAAACAAATGCATTACTTGAGTTCTGTTTAATTAGAGACCTTTAGCATCGTGTTTACCGCTAACCGTTAACCTTTAACCGATAGGAATCAGGCCCTGAAAAACGCCGCAAACACGGAGCCGAGCCATATTAAATTTCATTGATGACGGGTGTTGAATTTTTAGGATACGAGACCAGAAAAGAAATCAATATTTAGGCTAATTGTATGCCATATCGGATTATACTCTGCTGATATCAATACTCTTGCTCAGGTTCTGCTGGCCTCACGCGTCGTCTGCGCATGTCTGAGAAATTGGCGGGAAAATGGCAGTCGCGTCCCACCGCGGGCAACTGATTCACTCTAATAAACATTTAAGTTAGCAGCGTGTGATATTCTCATGAATAAGATAGGCATTATGAAAGTATATAATTTACCAATATGGAAATAATGAATGGGATTTACGAGCATGTGCTGTACGGTTTTCTCCGGCGTTTCTTCGTTTGTGGTAAACATGGATGGAGAGTCCGCTCCGAATGAGTACAAAAACATTAGTCTTGTTCCTCACCCACACACCACTCCCCTGTGGTATCATCACTAGAATTCAAGTTATCTATATACAATATTTAATGTTTGGAATATGATATTTGTCTACAAATGCTGGATGTTTTGAAGGAAAATAATGATCTTCTATCTTGGATACCTGGGGTAAATTTAAATAACTAATGGTGTACGATGGAAAAAAACACACATTAATTCGACCAAAACTCCGTCCCAGAAATCATTTTATAGATAAAAATTAACAAAAATAAATACTTTCATCTGATAATCGGCTAATTCAAAGTTTTCCGTTTGGAAAGGAAAGGAAAATAATATCATTATTTTTATATAAAAGATTAGTTGAGCGACAGCAGCTGTGTTTTTGACCTCATATTTATTTGCTTTTCGTGTTTTCGCTATCATTTTCCCGTATACACGCCACACAAATATACATAAAAAGATTACAATTTGTCAATTAACTTTGACCTATTATAATTGTACATTCAAATTTGCCTAACTCAATGAAACCAGGGATGAAACTCGAGCTTTTAAAGCTGTCAACAAAATGAAACCAAGAAAACTACGCCATCTGTAAACTAATTATCAAGAATTACATTTTGAAAAATAAAACTTGAAAAATCAATTAAAAACCTTTTTGAGACCTTGAAAAAGTAAACCTTGTTTCTGTTTTGAATAGAATACCCAAGGAATAAAGAAAAACGTCTATTATATACAAAAATAACAGGATATTCTTTCTGAAAAATGATTTTTTTCAGCCTCAGGTGTCAACTTCCAGCGACAACTGAACAAACAGTTTTTCTCTCAATGCGTATCATAATGGCGCGAAAACAACGACCTGATGGTATTATCTAAAATCCAATTGTAATTCTAAAAAGCATTAAACTTATCATATTTCAAAGGAAAAATAATTTATTAAGTACTAATAAATGGATCTTTTTGAGGCCTAAGGAAACGTATAGTTGGGTTAATGCCTGAATGAATTCAAGGAAAACAAAACCAGCGAAGCAGCAAAAACATTCAAAGTCCACTTCGTTTCCTGTATTTGGGCATAATTTGTCATGTTTGGCAACTTCTTTCAACACTTTAGTTTCGGAGAATAAAACTACGGAGCTGGGGTCGATTGAATTTCTAACCAATTTTGTACCGGATCTAGGACTATATTCACAACAAAGGTTATTTTGAGGACGCTTAATCAAGCTTTAATCTTCATTAATCTTTGAACAAACTAACGAGCGAGGGGTCTTAAAACAGTTAAAACTTTAAGCCAAAAATGAAAACAATTTAAAGTTGAAACTTTGACGGTATTGCGTGGTAACTGGTACCAAAGATCCAGAGATTATAGGTCACTTTATCGCCATATTTTGAAGATCTTCCGTTCTGGGGTTTGGCGAGAGAAATCCTTCACTTTTCCAATCAAACTTCTTTGAATGTATACACACAGTTTTGTGATGCTGAATTCAAGTTTCAATTCCAGTTCAAGTAGCGGCGAGCAAGTCATTTCACGAGAAGCGACGATATTTTATTGCCTTATAATGGGACTGATTTTGACAACGGCGGTGTTTGGGAACTGCCTTGTTCTTCTGGCAGTCAAACGAACAAAATCTCTACGAAACACTGCGGCAATCTTGGTAGTAAACCTCGCTTGTGTAGACTTGGCAGTAACTATTTGTATAGTGCCATTTGTAATCACCACGGCGTCTGCTCAAGGATGGGTGTTGTCAGACAAGCTGTGTAGAGTCACAGGTTTCTTCAACTCGTTTTTGACAGCAGCACAGATCATGGCTTTACTTCACATCAGTGTAAATCGTTTCGTTGCTGTGACTTATCCTCACTCGTACGACACAAAACTGTCGAAGAAAATTACTCTAATGATGGTTATAGCGGGCTGGATTCATTCTATGTTTTGGTGTTTGATGCCGTTTTATGGCTGGGGCGCCATTGGCTTCATCAATGGAACTTTATTTTGCAATATTTTATGGTCTCAGCAAATAAGCTTCGCTGCTACAGTCCAAGTTATGTGTTATTTTATCCCGTGCATTATCGCCGGTGTTCTGTACCTCGGTGTCTACATCAATATACATAAACACATAAAAAAAGAACGAACTAGGTCGACCATGTCACTAGGTGAGACAAATATTGCAGCTGCCGTCACGCGATCCGGTGATACGATCCGAAACTCAATCCATGGATCTTTGGAAGACGTTGAGGAGGCGCGAGCGAGCAGGGAAGCAGCGAGAGCTGCTAAGCTTAAAAGGAAACGACAGCGTACAATGGAGAACCGAGTGACCAAGACTCTACTCGGAGTTGCTGTCGCTTTTGCTGTTTGTTGGTTTCCCAGAGGAATTGCAAACTTGTGGGCACTGTCTGTGGATCGACAGAATGTACCTCTCGCTTTGGAGTACGCGTCGACTGCTTTCGTCTTCTTGAATTCGTCCGTAAACCCAGCCATCTATGGCGCTCTCAATCGAGACTTCTACAGAGCTTTTGTTGGTATTCTTTCTTGTGATAGGAGGATTGGACGAAACAGAAGTGATACTGAAATATCTGCTGGATCAATATCGTTGGCAAGAAAGATATAGAGTAATATGCAATGCCCTATTACCCTCGACCTCATGTCATTATATATTTGTCGGGGGTATCAGGGGTATTTGAACTATACTTAGCTCTCTTAACCTCTATCTTATTGTAGGAAGATATAGTTATATGCAATACCCTATTACCCTCGACCTTATGTCACTATATATGAGTCGGTCGTATCAGGGGTATTTGAACTTAACTTAGCCCTCTTAACCTCYATCTCATGGTCATCGCAACAAACAGATTGCGTAATTGACCTTCTTAGCCTCGATTTCATGTAAGACGGATCATCGTCTAGGAATGACAATCGCTAATGGAAAGTCTAAGGTTAGACTAAGCCCTCTTGACCTCGATCTCATGTCAACTCTTGGTGTTCTGTTACTGGAAGCCTGATCTCACTGAGCAGGTTAATGATATTATCTGGAATGAAAAATGACGTTTTTATATTGGGCTATAAAAATGTAAATAGTTTACAGATTGCGTACACAGTATGACACATGCAATTATCATAATGTATATAAACGAATGTTAAATCATAAAACAATATTATCAATTCCATGCATGCACTGTAAGCTGTATTGTAACATTGATTTTTACAGCGGCTGCGCGCAAAAGTATGACCGCATTAAATGTGTTCGCATGCTTCTCTGCACAGGCTTTTTGCGGCCAAACGAGCTCTTACACGCCTTACACGGTCAAATCTAGTCAGATGACCACTCGACGTTACAATACATCGAATCTACAGCACTTTCTCTATGTATCCATTAGTTACGACTCTGACGACAGCGAACCAATCACAATTGCAGCGGTTTTCCCTGTAGAATTACACTAATCTTGTCCAACAAACAACTACACAGTATCTAAGTTGTTTCAAAGTATACCACAAGGATTACGAGGCGTTTTTTATTTATTTTCACAGAAGAGTAAACGATTGAGACAGTTTATATTTAATTTTCAGGAATCATGGTTATAAACCCTTAGATATTCTAGCCAATTTGCTGAGCTTCTGGGACATAGCAACGGTAACTAAGGGAAGTCGAAATCATAAATTTTTTTGATAGAGTGAAGTCATTAAACGCGTGAAATAGACATTAGACTAATACACTTTAGTAGACCCTAATTCCATTGTTTTCTTCTGTGTCTATTTGACTATTACACGTTGACTAACGTTTTTTATTTCACGGGTTAAATGCCTTCACTCTATACGATGGTCTAATTTTGCTAAAGGTTGAAAGTACGAGTGCAACTCAGTTGATGTAATATATTATGAAATAAAATCGTTTTCTATATTTTGTATTGATTCTATACCTAATATTGTAATATGTGTAATTTCTATTTTGATGACTGGTATATTACATCTACTGGGTGCTATAACGCGTTTTCACATGAAGTAGTCACAACCGCCATATTGGTGTACCTTTGACAATAAATTTGTCGTTAGACAGTTTCATGTAGATTTAAGTTACGGCAAACGTCAAACGTCAGTTGACCAGTGAAAAAGTATTTCACATTACTAAAAAGGAATTGCAAAAAAATCCAAGTAGTAGAAAAATAAACTGAGAATATTTGTGTGTGGTGAGAAAGTTTGTAAACGTTTAAGTGAAATACAGGAAAACGATGAAAACGTGGTCACGTTTGCCGTTTGCGGGAAGAAATATAGTCAATCTAAAACTCTCTATTAGTTCCTTTGGTTAGGTACATCAATATGGCTTCCATCCATTGCCAGTTAACTCTTTAGGTAGTAAGTGAAAACGCTCTATAAATGACGTGCTTCCCATCCTATAAAAAATGAAAGGACAATAGACAGCCGCCATCTTAGCTTATGACATGGGCCTTGTTTAAGCGGCAGCCATTTTGACTGGAATTCTATAATGCGTAGCCTTGCATTCAAATACTTTAGAATGCATTTGTGCGGGTTAAGCAATGCCTTTTATTCTCTTTATCGTCATGTCAGTTGACAAAAGAAACCAAGACTATCTTTTGTTAAAATCAACCAACATGGCGACTGTGAGGTCACATGTACATTGAAAAAACATGGCTACCATGCAGCTGGCCGCCATTTTGGTTGACACTGTTATGAAACMAAGACCAAAGTCAACCAACATGGCGGCTATGACGTCACATGTGCAGTGACAAAAGACATGGCCGCCATGTTGGTTGACACTGTTATGAAACAAAGACAAAA